GAGGTTTCCTATCAGCCTGATGAGGTGGGCCTTGAAGCTGATGACTGGAGAATGGGAGGAGGGGTCTCCATCTCCACCGAGGGAGGAGAAGTTCTGAGCAGCGCTGAAAACATTCTTACTAGCCTTCCCTATAGTATGCACCTGCTTCAGGAGCTCTGCAGAGAAAAAATAAAGAAAACACAGAGTTCAGGGATGCAGAAAAAGACAGTAATTCATTAAATTAAGTGCCAAAAAAAATGTATTTGTGTAAACTCGTTTGTAGTTGAACTTGTTGTGTTTTGATAGCTTTCTAACATAACCGAGGGCTGTGTTCAGGAATCTTGTTTGGTTTTCTGTGGGTGATTTCACGGGGATCTGAATCTTTCACCATTTCAGGGAGTGCATATGGTGTACAGATTTGTACCATTTAAAAACCAGCAATTAACCCTAAACCTCCAGTGACAGACGCGGTCAGAGAGCTTGTGTGAGTGTTTGTTTAAATTTACCAACAGTTGTTACTAGAAGGTCGGGATGTTCCTGGAGGAACTTGAACTGCTTGTGGTCCGAGGTCATCTCACACAGCACATCCAGCAGACTGATCACTATCATCGCCTCCTGCAGGACCTACAGGGGATCGCAAGCAGGATGTTGGTCACATGGGGAAAGGATGTTGGATTTGATATAACGTTAGGGAAGGGCCTTGTCAGTTAGAAATGCAAAAACAGTTCCACATGCCACACACTCTTCATATACATCAGTCAAATGTACTATGTGTACCTCATCACTGGAGGCAGAGCCAGTTGCGAGCGTCAGCACGGCCCCACAACCTTTCACAAAGGAAGTGGCCACGAAGCGAGCCACATCGGGGGGGATGCCACACTCCTCTGAGTCCTCCTCTTGTAGCTGAGCGAAGAGCAGCTCTAATAGAGTAAGTCTGGAAAAATAAACACACACACAGTAGTTTAAATGGCATTTAATCCGTTTATTCAGCTCAGGTTTAATGTTATCCAACTAAGTGAAAATAAACAGAAACAAAAGTATAATTGCAAGAAGTGCACTCATACAACTTCTTAAAACTAAACTCAAAACAAAGTGAAAACTCAAAATCAGGATATAAAAGTTAAAGGGGGCAGTGTTTGTTCTTAAATCACTTTCTGTGTAACATAAGAGGTCTATAGTTATATGCATTATCTTGGCCTACATTAAAAGCAAAGTACCTTTCATGGTGAGACATCCCAGAGTACATGCTCTCCACCAGAGCTGAAGACTTGAGGAAAAACTGGGTAGCGATGAGAACCCTGTCAATTTGTGAGAAAAAAATATATAATGTTTACCAACAAATCGAAGATGACAGTTTGTCATTCCTTGATATGATTGACAGCTAAAAAAAAGCATTGTTCTACACACTGAAACAGACACACACTCTTACGTCCAGTCCAGGTCAGGATGGGTCCTGCAGAGCTCCATCACCCTGAGTGCCAGCTGGATGTTCTGCAGATCAGACAGCTCCTCCACCTTGGCTTCATCCAGACATGTGTGGAGCACCATGGAGGCGTAGTTTACCGTCTTCTCATCGCCAACACTGAGCAGCTGCCTGTTCACACATGATTGGGTGGACTTTATCTGAGGAGCAATGCTTTCCAAATAAAAATACTGATACAGGTGTGCATTAGTGTTAAAATGTGGTTTCAAATCAACCCAATTGTTGTGTTGTAGAGACAGAGAGATGTGGATAATATAGATAATGAAGTTAAAAACTAGTTTGTTAGCCCAATGAGACCCCACAAAAGGTTTTCTGTGAAATTATGATCAATAAACATAATGGAGCTGCACAAAATAGAACAAAATTACCTATTCTGTGGTTTTGACTAATATTGCAACAGCAATAATATTCCCAATATAATGGAGAATGATAATTTTCAAACTTGTTATCCTTGAAAGATATATTAAAATGAGGACGGGTACAAAACAAGAATTTTGGATTAAAGGTAGGGTAGGTAATTCACTTCAGAAACACTTTTATATATTCCATGGAATGCTCTTAAAATCCTGATAGCAATGAATAAATTAAATGCTTTGACAATAAATATATACAAATATTTCATCTGTGGAAGCCGTAGCGCTGTAAAAAGCACGACCAGTTATAACTGGATGGCCTACCTGCCTGTCAGCCTTCCATCTCGTGTACAAACTTATCTCATGCCCTCATTGGTCATGTGCGCGTTCGTGTGTGTTGGAGGAGGGGCTCTGTGAGGAAGTCTGAAGGAAGGGGCAGATTTTTTTCGGTTGTGTACTTTCAAATTCTAGCGCACTCGAGCTGGTTTCTCCATTCTTACCTACCCTACCTTTAAGTCTGTAAAATACTGTTTGTGAGACTTGTGCCAACTGTGATAAGGATATTGCACTTGTCCATTTTGAGATGTCATAACATGTTGATTAACTGTGCAGCCCTAAAACATAGTATGAGTTATAACTATATGATGTACTAGTGATGCTTACTGTTTAAAATGCATAAGTGCAAGTGTGGCACTTACATGAGGAGATTTGGGAAGCTCAGCCGCCAGATGTCATCTTTACACATTTGGTTTCCAACCGACAAGTTACCGAGGAACTGGATCCCACAACGAAGCGCTAAGCCATAGAGGACGATTAATAAATATGTTCAGTATCAAAAAGTTTGCCAAAATAAATCGAATGCTTTTATTACAATTGACTGATTTTAGACTTACGTTCAAATATGCCATCTCTACTCGCCGAATGTCTGGTCTGAAGGAAGTCTAGCAGTTTAAGGGACACATCGATGAAGCCAAGCTCCCTAGAGGAAAAAGAAAAGTACATATATCTTGTAAGAAGAGTGGCAAAATAGCATGAAGACACAGTGAACAGCATTGTGGCAATTTAGCAAGTTGAAATGACTGTTGAGACCATGTCCAAGTGCTGTTGAAACAACCATGTTATGTGCATATACAATATATACGTCTCATATTATCCATGAACTGATGCTCTTACCTGAGCAGACTCTGGTTGCGGTCGCTTTCGACACAGGTGTTCCTCTGAGCCCTGAAGCACTCGGTGGTCAGCTGAAGCTGCAGGGCGACAGACTGCAGGTCCTGATCGTCACAGCTGACAGCATGGAGCTCATCGCACAGTCTGGATAAAACCTGTAGAAGACTGGACAACACCTCCTCCTTCACAGCATCTCTGGGGGAGGAAAGTCGAGGTGGGGAAAGTGAGAGATGGTAAATGTAATGCAGTGGAACCCCAGCCTGGGGATTATATAACAGAAATAAGGAGTGAAATGTTGAATGAATCAGTATATGTTTATAGCAAAGTGAGTTATCACTTACAAGGAATTTGCCTTAATGTTAGGAGCATACAATTAATGTATTAAGAGGAAATATAAGCAAAGTAATGCAAAGGGAATTACATAAATAGAGAATAGATCAATGACAACATATTCGGTTTTTTGTTTAGTGCAATGAATTTAGGTTAGTGCAATGAATGTATCACTATTCTCTGCAGGGATTTAATTGGCCTAACAGGTGTAAGTAATATAATAGATTACTTTTTTCCCCTTGTCATATGAATTAGTAATTAGTTACACCTGTGCTAATCCTGCAATGACAACTCAAAATATCTGAATCCACAGAAAGCTTTGACTGTCGTCTTTCTAAGTAGCAGCTGAAATGCATACGTCAGTATAAAGAAGAAATGTGACATTTCTCTGTTCATTAACAGAAAAAAATAGACTTAACGGGCCTGAAATAGCATCCAATAATACGCCGGAAGTTAAATGTAATAGTAGCGTTTAGGTAGCCGACACACCAAACTAGCTTCGTCGGTAAGCTACTAACACCCTCAGTATCCTTTTAAAAAGCATTAAATTACTTTGTCCGCACCTGTATTCCTTGTCACGTAACGCGGTGGTGAATGTTTTTAAAACCTGCAAGTGTTCAGGGCAGTGTTCTTCCTTCAAAATGCCAGCAATAGACGCTGAGATGTCCATGTTGTCGGTAGTAGCTGCCATGTTTGCCTGCTAATGGGCGGGACATCCGGTTAGATGTCTCACACGCTATTGGTTCAATCAAGGAAAAAGGCGGAGTCAGAGCATGTGCTGCTGTTTTCATACAGTTGTCATGTCACCCGCCTCTGTGGCACATGGTTATGTGTCAGGGCAGAACATACAGTAAGAGACAGAGTATATTTTATTGAGTGAAAGTGAGTTGCAGCTGGGTGAAATATTAAACAGTACCACTTTATAATATGGAACCTAGTATAAAAGGTTTATAAATGCAGCTTAGCTTTATAATTGCAAGGGTTGGCACAGATGTATTGAGTGTAATGGAATTGGGAATCCCTCATGGGCTCCATATGTTAATTTAAGTGGTATTTGTGAAGGGTGCAGCTCCCATTGGATGCAATGCATCCTTAAATATACAGTGTATCTTTACTGTAACATACCCAAAATAAAACATCTAATAATGTATTGGGTACAGTAAAAGTTCTAGTGTGTGGTCAGAAGATGGTCAGAAGATCAATTCATTCAGCCCAACCAACTTGAGGGACAATTGGTGCAGCTGCAATAATAAAGCCACAGGGCAAGCCTTTTGAGCTTTCGTGTAGAGTGGCACATTTTAGATTACAAGATTTGCTTGGGTATGGTTGTCGGCCGGCGGTCACAGCACAGCAGTGGTGAAAGGCATATCACTGTTGGTTATGGATGGTCAGAAGTATCCACCTCAAGCAATTTGTCAGGTTAAAGATGAGGTATTTAAAGATCCTAACATTCCCAGGAAAATGTTCCCATAACTCAGTTCTCTGAATGGAATAACTGGAAATAACCTCACACACTGGAAGTTGTATGGTTTTGATCGGTAATTTGAAGAGTTGAGTTACAGAAAAACAGGACATCCTATCAGATTTGTGTTATTCTTGAAACCACAGTTATGCTACTAAAGGACAATTGGTTTAGTCTGCAGCAGTCTAGGATTGATCTCCTTTTAGTAAAAACATGAACACAATTAACCACACAATCTTTATTATTCACAAATGGTCTCGTATTCTGATGGTACAACACACAATCAAAGTTGAAATGGAGTAAATATCTTTGGCTGATTTGGCCCTATTATAAGGATGTCAGTTTGGTTAGTTGAAATATCTCATGAACTATTGAATAGCTTGGCAAACATTTGGTACTTCTAATATTCACATTAGCCTCAGCTGTGCTTCTGGTTTAGTGCTTATTAGCAAATGTTACCATGCTTACAGACTAAACTGAGTGGTTGTTGTGGTGTTATACCTCGTAAATATTTGCATTATTAGCTTAGCACTGTCACTGCAAGCATATTAGCATGCTGAAATTGTTACCCAATTCAAAATGTTTGCCAATTTATGTATTGCTAGGTAACTAATAACTCCTTAGCTGAGCTCAGAACCATAACTCAGAGATGAAAACATGGATGATGACAATGTTGCGATGAGAGACATCCCTTGACTTGATATAGTTCATAGCCACCTCTATCACAAGGTCCCTGGGGCCAATGATAGGTTTCACCTGCCGAACCACACCTGAGTGATGACACAGATTGGGATTAGTTAGTGAAATTCAGTTTTGGGAGATTTATAAGTAAATTAAATATCTGTTTGATATAGGTCTTCATGAAAGACACTTACCAATAATCATGCCATGGTGGGTGCGTTTCTCCACATCAAAAGAGAACTGGTCATCTGCATACTGGATGTCAAAGAACACATCGGTGGCGCCAGGTACAGCAGAGTTAGCTGCTGTAACTGTCCGCAGGAAAACTATTTCTGTTGGGGCAAACCAGAAAGGGGATTTTGTCTTTAAATCATTATCAATTGTTCTGTGAGTTGAAACAAGTAATTACATCTTATGCACAGCTTGGTGGGTTGAAAGTTGTATTTTTCAATGAGGCATCCATGAGGCTTCCCCATTAACCCCTTAAAACATTTATGAAGTTTGGAAACCTGGGTCTACGGTTAAATAATATAATAAAGACAACAACAAAGTCATGCCTTAACTAACTAATGCACACCACTGCACACATACTAAAACCTTGCTGTACTTCCCCCTGTCTTACCCTGTGGTTCATGGAAGTCTCTGAAGGTTGGCAGAGAGAGGGAGGTGTGGGTGATGGTGTGGACGGGTTTGATATTGCAGCTGATGTCATGAGGGTGGCAGGACTTAATGCAACGCACATTAATCAAAGCATCACCACCAGATCTAAAAAGTGAGGAAATGCAGAGAAAAGGGGGATATATAAATGTGCCAAGGCAGGGAGAGAAATACATATCTTAAGAAGGGAAATCTTCACAATTTCAACCTATACAGTACTACCCAGTATTTCTAAGAAACAACTTTTAGGATTAAACAGTTAAATTGAGCAAAAAGAACCTGGCATCACCTGAATAGTCCCATAGACCTGCATGGTTAACCATGGAACGGGCACTTTAGAAAGAGTCCAAACCCTGATTCCACAACCTAAAATCATGTTTGTGCACTTTCAAATGTGACCTCAGAAACGACCACGGGAGCAGAGCTGTGTAATTAGCAGCAAGCAGGTGAGTCCAAGTCATTCCCTAAGCATGACGCCAAAACCAGAGATGGTTGTGTGGTATTCCTCACCAGGGAAATGTTACAAAGGATAGTGGGATGGTGGAAAACCAGGCACGGGTATGTAACAATTTGATGAGGAAGAATCAGAACAAAATATCAGGATGTTGACTGAATCCGCAGCAGAATAACATTCCCAAAAGATTGTAACCCTCCAAAAAACTGACAAATAGAGATACAATCATTATTATTTCATACAACATATCACTATTTTTACATATATGAAGTAATTAGTGAGGCATTTTGGAAATCAGTTAGGTGGTTATATGATCCAAAGATTTAAGAGAATGATTAGCTCATATATATAATTTTGTTGCATTTTCAATCAGCTCTATATGTATTAAACCACAAAAACCACCGGGAGGAAAGTGGAACAGTGGAAAATGTGTCTGGCTGCATTTATCCAGCTGACCAACACAGCTACTGCCCTTTTGGTATAATTTACAGCAAATCAACTGATAACCACCCAATACCAACACTAAAAGCACTATTCATCATACGAGCTGTAATGCTGCTCCACCACAAATTGAGCCCCCATGTTGGCCAAGCCCCAGGTGCCCATAAATAAGTGCCACGCTTATTTTTCTTGCGATCCACTGAGGCGAGTTCTGTTTGATCCTATGGTGAGGCCACTTGGAACAGATCATAGGAAAAATTGCTTTCAACATAAGAAATGACCACAGCGGAGGAAGCACGAGAGTAGGGGCGGAAACCATTGCCGGTATGTGTGTTTGTGCTTGAATATTAAAGAGTAAAAAGCCATTTTTATCTGTCACTCTTTTAATTCCAATCACTTAGAAAGTACACATAAAGTGAAGCTGAGGTAGAGTGAGCTGCCATCTGTACAAATTATTACAAATGAACAATCATGTCATAGTGTTAGATCCTTAATAGCTAATGAGCCCCATCTAGTGGTACAATGTCCTAATATTCTTAACATATACTATTAGAATAAATAACAAAAAAGGCATTAACCTTTCTCTTGCGTTTCGGGTCAAAAGTGACCGAGTGACTTTGTTTTTTATCATAAATATTGTGTTTTTCATCCAATTGCCTCAAGACCTTATGTTATCCTCCACACTCATCTCTGGTGGGGACGAGTCTGCCTACAGGTGGGAGATGGACCATCTGGTGACCTGGTGTGGGGAAAACCACCTGGAGCTCAACGCCCTAAAAACAGTGGAGATGGTCGTGGACTTCAGGAAGAACGCAGCCCCACCCGCCCCCATCACTCTGTGTGACTCCCCAGTAACTGCTGTGGAGTCTTTCCGCTTCCTGGGCACCGTCATCGCCCAAGACCTCAAATGGGAGCAGAACATCTGCTCCCTCATCAAAAAAGCACAGCAGAGGATGTTCTTTCTGAGGCAGCTGAAGAAATTCAACCTGCCAAAGACGATGATGGTGAACTTCTACACCTCCATCATGGAGTCCATCCTCACCTCCTCCATCACCATCTGGTACGCCGCAGACACAGCCAAGGATAAGGGCAGGCTGCAGCGGGTCAGCCGCTCTGCAGAGAAGGTGATCGGCTGTAATCTGCCATCCCTCCACGACCTGCATGCCTCCAGGACCCTGAGGCGGGCAGGGAAGATAGTGGCCGACCCCTCCCACCCTGGACACAAACTGTTCACCCCCCTCCCCTCAGGCAGGAGGCTGCGCTCCATCGGGACCAAAACCTCTACCCACCTGAACAGTTTCTTCCCCTCCGCTACCGGCCTCTTAAACAAGGCCCCCGCTGACACTTTACCTCTGCCACATCATAGACTATATGCATTACATTAATGCACACAATGTTCATACTCCTTTCTGCACATATTCTTATTTCACATTTCATAGTTTATATTCTAAAATTCATTTCCATGTAAATTACTGCTTTATTTAATTTGTATTGCTATTTCACTGTATTTGATGATGGTGTAAAATATTTTTTGTTTTATATTAGATTTCTTGTTTTTTATATTGTATGTATGCACCATGACATCAAGTCAAATTCCTAATATGTGCGAACCTACCTGGCAATAAACCTGTTTCTGATTCACTAGGCCTCTGAGCATATACAATTGATGATCACCACTAGCATTGATTTATTCAACAGTGAAACACCCATGATGTTGTCAGAATTGACCGCCATAGGAAATTAATGGGTATGAGTGTATTATGTTCATCCTGCAGATGGAAAACATCTCCACACACACACACACACACACACACACACACACACACACACACACACACACACACACACACACACACACACACACACACACACACACACACACACACACACACACACACACACACACACACACACACACACACACACACACACACACACACACACACACACACACACACACACACACACACACACACACACACACACACACACACACACACACACACACACACACACACACACACACACACACACACACACACACACACACACAGTGCTTATGTCCCCCCACACCTTCCAGACAAAACAATTTACTCTAAGTTACGGGAAGCTCTCACTTTCTCACGCTGTATGATACAATGTATCATAACCTTCTCACAGGTGCAAGCTCTGTGCCCCTCGAGAAAAAAAACCTCTCACTTTCTCTCATGCAGTTATATTTGTGCCTTGCTCACATTTGAGTCATTGACACAATGAGTAGGCGACTGAGAGGCTCTGGACAAATGTTTTGAACCAGATGAAGAGGAGATTGAAGAGGACGATGTCTCCAAAATTGAAGACAACAGCGATCCAGACTATGAGCCTGACCAACAGTCAACTGAGCAGGAAGAGGCCCCTGAGGGAGAGGAGCCCTGAATATGTATTGTTCTCTAAATGTTCATTGAGGAAAACAGTATCAGTGTCTTATTTTATATTCATCACAGTGAATGCTGAACTTGATGGGCCCACCGGTGGGTCCAGACCATATACTCTAGTTGAAAGTACACAATGAAACACTGACTTGCTTGTATCAAATCAATACATCCCATACATCATTGGAACGGGAAGAATCTCATAAGGCTAGTGACTTAACCGACCAGCCCACCTCGGTGCCGCAAGAAAATACCGCTAGTATATTGTCGACGGGGGGGCGGTGGCTAGTGACTTATCCGACTGGCCCACTTCAGTACCGGCCCATCGGGATTTGTCCCGATGGCAAGTCCGCCCCTGGTCCCTGTCGTCACTTTCCAACGCAAGGGGGTTCCTTTAGCATCGAGTTTCAACTATCAGGGAGTCCCGACTTGCATAGAGCTCCTTGAACGTTGGTAATAGAAATGCTCTCCGCAGATCCATTCTCACAGCGTTTATCAACCTTTTTCTTACTCAATATCAAGCCACACTTATTGTTTTTACTTCTTTATTTTAATTGAATAATTTTGTGCTTTTGTTGCTGTCAGTTAGGGGGAGAGTACGGGGCTCAGAATACTGAAATCTGTATTGTTTCATCGTTTTTTCCTTCTAATTTTGTATTCTTTTCTAAACCACACACTGTTATTTACTCAACAATAACACACAATTATCCTTGTGTTTATTTATTTGTTTGATTAATAAACACAAGTTGGAGTCCGTCAGGACCGAGGGTCGGAGCAGCTCATAGTAGTTGCTTTAGAGAATTTTACACCCGGAAGTAAGTATTCTCTCCGCTTCGCTTGACAAACCCCGTGATTAGTCCTCAAGCTCTGTGATTGGATGTTTGAGTGTGCGCGGAAGGTTACGCCGAGCGTCGAACAGCACTTTGAAATGGGATGGAACCACGGCAGACTGTCCAAAACTGGATTTGAATGGGTCCACCCCGTCCCCAGAACTACACATGCTGGCTATTGTGTGTTTCGCAACATGTTCTATGGCACGTCTCTACTGGGAATTGTAGTTTTAAAAGACGTTTTCGTATTTCCCATAATAAGAAGTTGCCAGTATTAAACTGTACATCCCTGGAGGGTTAGGGGATAGGAAACACTCAAATTTAAAACATATAATTAATAAATGGGTGAAAATGGCTTGTGCCCATAATGGGCAGCATTAATATATACCCACATGACAGCTAAGGTCAGAAGAGCTTTCTTTAACAGCTGGTCTTATGTCTGTGACCCCTCCTGTTGTTCATTGATAAGCCTGAAACATGCACTTGTCAAGGTTCAGAGGCAAATTTTGCAAATATGGCAGTAGCCATCGATCATCTTAAGATAAGATATACTTTATTTAAGTTTACTTTAAGTTGGAAACATTTTCGTTACAGCAGCATGTGTAACAGTTGTAAATATGCGGTGGTGTTTATTTGTAAATCATTTAGTATAATCACACAAATTCTGTGTTTTATATTTCATAATTCTGTGTTCTTTATTTATTGAATGTTCAATACCTGACAAGGCCGGAGATGAAAAACTTGGGTCGCAGGTTCCTCAACAGTGCATTACAAGACATCTATCAATATGTGTGTATACTTCCACCATTAAACTGTCATATTCTGCACATTTCTTATACTATCTACATACATCTTATAAGAGTATAATACATATGTATAATATCAGTTCAAATAAGTGCTTAAACATACAGTAGTTAACATTGCAGGAAAGCAATATATTAGTACTTTGTCAAGCTTAATATTTATACCCCCAAAGCTTTTTTCTTATTCAAAAGAAGACCTTAACCTAAAGCATTCTTTAATGTTTAAATAAAGCCTTATTAGTTTGTCTGTCTGTGTCTCCTATTAATATCTAATAATAAAAATAATACAATTCAATAACGTGCTTTAACCACTAGGTGTCCCTTTCTATCAGCTGTGCACCGTTATGGTGTAAATATAGCCTATCTACCAATTGGATCAAATATAAAAGTCAACCGAATTAGTATTGATACTGCAAGGAGACGTATATTGTTTAGAGAAATTGAAGATGTTGTTTAATTGCTGATATATTTATGATCCACGTCACATATTCAGTTTCGGCGGCAGTTCTTCCTGTTTGTCCAGAAGTCTTATCATCAGGGCTCTATAAATCAAGAACTACGGCAGATGTGTAATATTTAATGCAGCCGAACCGTGTATTACAATGCCGTTATGTGATGACTTCCAAAGAGAAAAGCAAGCACACTCGGAATAAAGTATTATTTTATTTCACATCACATAAACACCATATCCCAACGTGCATTGTGGCTAAAACATCCAATCACAGAGCTTGAGGACTAATCACGGGGTTTGAGCGAAGCGGAGAGAATACTTACTTCCGGGTGTAAAATTCTCTTAAGCAACTACTATAAGCTGCTCCGACCCTCGGTCCTGACGGACTCCAAAAGTCCGACATTATACAATCAAACAAATAAATAAACACAAGGATAATTGTGTCTTATTGTTGAGTAAATAACAGTGTGGTTTAGAAAATAATACAAAATTAGAAGGAAAAAACTATGAAACAATACAGATTTCAGTTTTCTGAGCCCCTGCTCTCCCCATAACTGACGGCAACAAAAGTCCTACATTATTCAATTAAAATAAAGAAGTAAAAACAATAAGTTTAGCTTGATATTGAGTACGAAAAAGGTTGATAAACGCTGTGAGAATGGATCTGCGGAGAACATTTAGCCGCGATCCCAACTCGTCTATTACCAACGTTCAGGGAGCTCTATATGCAAATCAATGGGACTCCCTGATAGTTGAAACTCGACGCTAAAGGGCCCCCCCTTGCGTTGGAAAGTGACGACAGGGACCCTGACATAACGTCAACATAGGCCGAGTTGGAAGTGAGAATATGTTGGCAAAACACACCTGTCAAAAATAGTATGGGAAGGGGGGTATGACCTAACGCAAGAGAAGGGTTTTAAGTGTTGAAAAAAATCGATAAAAAGACATCCATCTGATCTCTGCTTTCAACCGCAATTCAAATAGCAACATTGCTTAGAACTATAACCACTCAAATCCGTTACTACCAACAACAAAACTATAAGGAATAGTTTTTTTTGGGGGGTTAGAGACGAATAAATGTATTGCTAAAAGTAAAAATAGAAGATCAATACCAACCTCATGTCTGTATGTGTAATTTAAAGCAACAGGAGCCACCGAGCTTAGCTTAGCATACAGAATGGAAACAGCTAGCTTAGTTCTGATCAAAAGTAATACACAATGGCTACCAGCACCTAAAACTCTCACTAACTTTATATCTTTTTTGTAAGGTTTATGTCCTGGACAACGTCTTTTCTAGTATTCGAGTATTTGATGTACAGAGCCAGGCTAGCTGTTTCTTTATGCTAAAGTGAGCTAACCTGATGCTCGCTGCAGCTTCATTTTAAGCATAGGCTACAGACAGAGAATGCCATCAATCCTTTTCGCTCAATACTGAGAAGAAGAATTTAGCAATACAAATAAATAGTCACTCCAGTTCATCATAAAGACTGCTGTGGTATCTTGTTCTTTTTTTAGTCTTTGTTTTGCATCACTGAACAACAATTATTCATTTGCCCGTTATAAACTGTTTCGAGGGTAGATAGAAAGTTGCAGCTGTGAGTCCTGCTTGAAGTAAAAGGATAGATAAAAACAAATAAAAAAAACCTTATTAAACATGCGTAATGGGTACAAAATACGTATTTTCTTTTTATTTCACAGACTTCTAATATGGAAATGTTCTTGAAGGCCGGATAGGCTGCTCGTTTGTGATAAACACCGCAATCTTAGCCATATACAGATGAGCCGTCCCGTAGCGAATCAACCTCATCTCCACGGTCAGAAAGAAGTCCCGCGGCAGGGTTAAGGTACGGCGAAGTGAGATCTCTCCTCCATGTGCATGCTGCTGCACGACAAAGTATTCTTCCTCATCTCCGGACACTATGTTAAGCAGCATTTTGTCTCCCAGCACAGAATTAAAGGGTCCCATCCGAAAGACCACAGCAGGGACGGGTGTGTTGGTTGGGAAGCTGATGTTGTAGAAGGAGATTCTCAGCGGGAGTAAGAAACACGACGCAGGATCCCGCGTGAACTCGCAAGTTACTCGCTCGCAACGGCTGAAATGGGAAAAAATGAAATACTGATTGGATGGAAAGCAGAATCGGCTGCGTACATGGTGGAAAAAGAGGCAAAGAACAGAGAGGAAATAATTTATGAAGGCCAGATAATAAGAAAAGAGTGTTGAAAGCATCCAGAGCAGTCCAAACAAACTCAGGAAATTAGAAAAAGGGTGTAAAAGATACAACGTATTCTTAAAACTAAACTACAGAGAAGTAAGATGCATCATGCTCAACTAGGGACAGTGAACCATTCATTACCAAAGCTTGTCATTACCAAGAAACCATCAGCTCTTACCCCTGTGCTGCTTGCCGGAAGTTTTGCGGACATGCAAAAAACAGACAGCGAAATCCTCCCTGGATGTTGAAGCAGCTTTCGGAGACAGAACAAGTATGGATCCCCGTGGAACATTCATCAATGTCTGAAAACAAGCAAAGGTTAATAAAAAAAAACATTTACAATTCAGTTATCGTTGACCAAAGCTTCATCGACTGACCTTGGCATGTGCGTCCATTGTGTGCGAGTGTGTAGCCTGTAGGAGGGCAGGTACAGTAAAAACTTCCTGGGGCGTTGGAGCAGCGGTAGGAACACACGTGACCTCCAGTAGGCAGAGCACACTCATCGATATCTGAGAGTGGGAAACGGTAGAATCTGGTTAGAAGAACTTCTTTTATGTGACATGTGATCACTCTCTTGTTGGTTTTGTTGCCTCACCAAGAACCAGGAAGTCAAACAGTACCTTCACAAGCTATCCCATCGATGTCACTCAGCTGGTAACCACGGCGACAGTAGCACTGATATGAGCCGTAAACATTTGCACACTCCTGGCTGCAAGGGTTGGCTTCACACTCATTGACATCTGTTAGCAGGAACAGAGTTTAAAAAATACATTCGGAAAGACTATGACACAATTTAGGTTTTTACATCAGCCATATTGTATATCCCCAACATAAGTCTTAGGAAATGACTGAAATTAAGAGATTTTACCTTCACAGCTTCTACCGTCGGGAATCAGTTTGAAGCCAATGGCGCAGCTGCACTTGTAGGATCCCTCTGTGTTCTCACACTTGTGGGCGCAGAGTTGAGCAGGATAATACCTGCATTCATTGATATCTGAACAACACAGGGGGCGGTGAATCTCAGAGTCTGAAGCCTCTTTCACACACTTGCAGGTAATACTTGGATAACCTTCAGCCAAGCATCGCTCATGATTTTTACTTTTCACAGATGCACTTATTTTATGAACAATTATGCCTTTTACAGTAATTCAACACTTGGATGCCCCTTTTCCTATAAATCTTACTAAGTTAGATACCTTTATTAATCAGCTGTAAGTTTTAGTTGGTTTGAACTTAGGGTTAGGGTTAGGAACTTAAATTGATTATAGTCTATTATCAATTCAGGTTAAGAAACTAGTGTTGCGCTTGCATCCTATTTTAAAGGCATTTCTTTTTATACTCTACTAAAATGCTACAAAAAAAGGGTTTGATTCTATTAATTTTGTCTTTTTTATTGCACTTTGGCAGCAGATTCCTGAGCAGCTTCAGATCTGAGTTGTCTTAATAAGCCTAATTTATACTTTTGTAGCAACACTATTTTTATATAATGGCAAAGAAAGGGTTCAGAGTCTTTTCTTTTTTCCCTATGTCATATGTGGCAGCACTGTTCAATGTTTCTTGAAAACATTACCCACTGTAGTGACATGTGAATAAACTCCAACTCTGTATCAACAACACTGTTGTGTAACTTCAGTTAAATACTTGTAGTGTATGTGTGTAGATTAGAAAGAGGTAAGATAAAGGATCTGCAGTATTTTATGAAGTATTAATCGTACAAAGGTCAGTTTTATACAAGTAGAAGTGTGTATTTACCTGGTAGTAGGCTGTCAGTAATGGCTACACCTCTCTATTTGGACTGGTAGATCTCTGCAGACTGGCAACTTTAAAAGTAGCTCTCGGTTCAAAAAAGGTTGGGCACCCCTGATCTAGGGCAACCAAAGGGACTAGAATAGCAGTTCTTTCTCCTCTACTCACTTCAACACGTGAAAATACAGGATTTCATAGCTGATATGCATACAATTTTATAGTTAAAACAAAAATAAAGTGATGAATTTGCACCGTACCTTCACACAGCTTGGAGATACTGTTGAAGATGAAGCCATTTCTGCATTCACAGCGGTACGTGCCAACTAGATTGACACAACCATGGACGCCGCAAACATTCCCTGTACGACACTCATCCACATCTGTAACATGAAGAGCAGAAAATACACGTATGAAAAAAGAACATCAATGTGGCAGCAAAAAAAACATATTGGATCATTTTTCGTGCCAGAATCCACCTTCACACCGCGTGCCGTTCTCAATCAGATGATAGCCTCGTCCACAGGGGATTTTGTTCCTGCGACATGTGTAAGAGCCCTCTGTGTTGTTACAGGTCTCGCCAGGCAGGCATGGACTGGCGTAGGCAACACACTCGTTGAAATCTGAAGAGAACATTACATTAAGACAGCTACATTTTTATCTGAGGAATGTTTTTGACCTTGTGACACTAAACTGACCGTTACAGTTGCCCACAGCGTCCTGAATGTAACCGATCGGGCAACTCTCCTTCGGGTAGCAGCGGAAAGAGCCTGCAGTGTTGTTGCACACAAAGTCTGGTCCACAGTTATGGGAGCCCAAAGCACACTCGTCTATGTCTGGAACAAGCAAAGAGGCGATAACGATAGAAGCAATACTGAAATACTGAACTCTAGGACAATTTCTTGGTATGAATAAACAAAAGTGTTAGGATTAGAAAGGATTTTATTCGTACCGTGGCAATCGTTGTCGTTTCTGAGTTCATACCCGGTGCCACAGCTGGTTTCCCTCTGACAGCGAAAGGAACCCTCTGTGTTAATGCAGACTTGGCCGGAGACGCAGTTGTGATTGTCAGTCAGACACTCGTTAGAATCTGAGGAGAGAGACATCCACTAAAGAATAAGAAAATAAGTGCATTTAGTTTGTTCAGTTTATTGCACTTTATACTAAGTGCAGGAAGAGGCAGAAAACCCAGTGTGGTGATTGAAACCTCCACCTAATTAATACTACAATTCACAATGTATTAGGGAAACTAAACTATGACAAACTATTGGAACAACATATCGTAAAAACAACAATAAAATAAGAATTTAATGCAAAAGAAGAAATCCTATTGATTACAATTCATCCTGAAAAGTGATTGTGAATATTGTAATACATTTATTTTAAATAATAATTCAAATAATAGTTGTTGAGAAATTTCAGTATGGGCCGATAAACAGACTAAAATATTGAACAGTTGAAATCACTTATTTTCTAAGAAATAAAGCCGGGTTTTTATTTAGATTACTTACCCACACAACTCACACCATCATTTTGCAGTTGATAACCATCAAGGCATGCACATGTGCCGTTCCCTACACACAACTGTGAGCAATTGGAGTCTGAAATCAGGGGAGAGACACGTGACGAAATAGACGTTTCAGTGTGTCATACATCACTAAAATCATTTTAGAAATGAATGTGCCAAACCTCTACAGCCATTCGATCCCTCTGGCGGCGTGGTGGTAAAATTGGCTACAGGCTTTGCTGTGACTGGAGGTATGGATATAAAGCATAATTAAAACTCAATAGCTTCAAAGGTCAACTCAAAGAATGGTTGAGAAACAAAGACGTGCGAGCACCTCTAAATGCACTTTAAAAAAGGGGTATCTCCTCTTGCACTTTATGTATCTCTTGTATCTTCTCTTGCACTTTATATGTCGTTGCTGCTATATTGTATTACCATGTCATAAATACTTGTGTATGCTGCTCTTGCTCTTTTGCACTTTTTGCATATCATGTATTTTGTTTTTGCTATCTTTGTAAAATGTAATTTTCTTAAATGTTTTATTTGAGGGACTGCGGATGGAAATTAGCTTAAAGCAAAATCTGGCACTGTTACGCTTGACACATTTTAATGTTTTAAGTGTTCATTACTGTGCATTGTCCCTGCTAAATAAACAAATAAAAATATGATTTTATTAATGGTAAATTCCCCAAAAAACTACAATCCACAAATACAGCTCAAATTGAATGTTTTTGCAGCTCTATCCTTCCCACACATTTGGTTGTATTTTCACTTAAAGCCAGCTAGGCGACAAAAGCCACCACCAGACACAACACTAGTTGGCCCTGAGTCACCATTTGGCAAGGTGTCTCCAGATTAGCCTGGCGAGTACCGCTGTATCCCAGGGATCTGCTCCACAGCTGCCACAACAAGGCCATGTATCCAGTTTATTAGAAGAGGGCTCTGCCTCTAGTGACGCTACCAATTTTCAATTACTGTTTGTCAGCAGGATACAGAAAAACTAGTTGGAGGGGCGAATAATCCATTAAAAGATGTAGAGGGGCAGAATCAAAGGGAGGATGGAATTATTTTTGATAAATTGCCTTAAAATGATAACCAATAACTCATCATCTGTTGGGGCTGATGAATAAACCCAAAATATTTAAGTTTGAAGATAAAAAAAAGATGGGATTGTACCCACTATTGGCATATCTAAGCGAACTGTGGTTGAGTTGCATTGCTGGTAATGTAGGCCCAAAGCTTTTAAAAGGAATACAAAATGTGAGATCTTTGGCTCTGCTGTATCAATTGTGATCCTTAGAGAAACCAAAACTGTCCATCATGAGCCTTCTGTAGAAGTTAATGGGTCCCCCAAAAAAGCCATAAAGTGTCTAAATGTCTAAAATAAGTCTGAATAAGAAGTTATCCGTTTTTGGTCAGATCATCTGCAATCAAATTAAAGGTCTAAAAAGCAAATGGGAGTTTTTCCTACCTAGCTGTAAGTCATTTGGCACCTAGTGTGTGTAAATGGAGGGTACTGATTATTTTTGAATGTCCCACACAGCCAGGATAGCTCTTCTTTCATGATAAGACAGAGTGGAGCTAATCAAAAGATTGCTAAGATCTATTACCTGTTTGTTTGGGTTCCTCCGCTGAGTTTATGCCACAGCAGCTTTTAGCCGTGTGCGTACACTGCCTCTCCAGAGACAAACCCTGGAGCTCGCAGCTGGACGCCTGGCTCGCTATCATCAGGCCGAGCATACAGCAGTCACAACACATCTGAACAGGAGAAAGAGGGCGGGGGGGGGGGGGGGAGAAAGCAGTCGTAAAGTAGGAATCTTATCTCGATACTGTCAGGAAAACAAGAATAAGGTGTATTGTGAGAACAAAGAGACATGTAAAGGTCGAAGATATTGACATTAGGAAGGACCTTCGAGATCTTGGTATCCCAGGTTCCTCCTGAGAAGAAGGGCCACTCACAGGCCCCTTGCTCCTTGGCCATTATCATGCCTTTGTCACAGAGTTGGTCTCCTACTGCTGCTGCACAGCACTGCTCCTGGGTGATCCTGCAGAAAAACGACAGAAATGTACCAAATCCAGAACAAAACGCACCCTTTTCTCTTCGGCTGGATAAGGAGCATGTGAAGAAATGCTTGCTATTGATTGACATACTGACTGGAAGTGGATTTATGATGTAATATGTTGCAATTTAGTTTAAAAAATGCCTAATTTATCCATGATCAAAAGTCTTCTCTCCTCTGCGATTGTCCCCTCCACTGACCTCAATGTACTCACCAGGTGTTTCTCTATGTTATCAATCACCACTTCCATGTATTTACAGTCAAATAGGGCCCTTTAGTGTTAAAAATGCTCCAGGGGGGCATTTTACGCCTGTACTTATGTAGTTACTTGTTGACATGATTTGGGGCTTCATACCCTGGGGGTGTTTCCTGCTTTTAAACATACCGTTGCAAATTGTGGCTTAGCCTGTATAGGAAACACACATTTCCACACAGTTTGAAGACTTTTGTAATGCATTCAGACCCCAAATACCCAAAGGAAAGCTTTTTTAACGGTTAAATACACAAAAACTTCACATTCCTTCTGTGCTGACCCTTGCACACATTCTCCTTTGACAAACCAGGTGTTGCTTTACCTGCAGGTGTGGGAGATGGAGATGGAGATGAGGGGGAGGATTGTACAGTCATGTCCTTCCAGGGCCCGATCCATCCCATACTGACAGCACTCCCGTAAAGTAGGAGCCTGAACATCTAAGGATTAGAAATACACAGAAGAGGCATTATTAAGAAAACAAATATAGCTGCCCCTGATGAAAGTCAGATTTAATTCAATTTAACGTGGCGAAAAAATGCTTGGATATCTCCATGTTGGTGTGTGTTAAAAGTAACACACCAAAAAGTAATCAAATTCTGTTACCTTGTCCATGCAGAACTCCGTACAGAAAAAAACTAAGTATGATCCAAAGTGCCCATGGAGTGACTTTTAGATGTTTTCCTCCCATATCCTCTTAATATCACGGTTATAATAAATGAATGGACTGATCGGCGGATGAATGACAGCGGTGGACGGTGTGAGTGAGTGTGTGAGTGTGTGTGTGAAAGCTCTCCGTGAAGAACATCTGAGGCGACACGGGGGCGGGGTGGATGGAGCTGTGTCAGAGCTACTGAATAATTCAAACACAGCCGATATTGGATTTATTTCTGTCGAAATTGCGCAAAGTGAGTCCAAAGTACATGTTGACTGGGTAAAAGAAAAAGCGAAGTTTTAGAAAAGTCGGGAAAAACAAGTCTATAAACCCCCTAAACATGTAGTAAAAAGGAAGAAAAATACAATTATACAAAATAAAGTGTCCTAAATATATTAACTTTTTCTTATTTCAGAAGGAAGTTACGATATTGGCTCTTTTTTTTTGTATTCATTGTTAAGGAAAACCTAGCATCTAGCTATAGCACCATTTTAATGCAATTTGGTGGAACGGTGATTAATGAATACAGAAAACCGAGCATCCGAGGAGCACCTGAACGCAGCATTTGCCTTTATCTTCGAGTGCCATTGTTGACATTTAAAACAGTTTTTCAGAATATGTAAAAATTATGAACTAATGTAAAATGGAAACCAACAAAAGTTATGAGGTTAAACATGAGCATACATTTGTGTGGTTTACTTTTTTTTTTTCTTCTGTTTTCCTATTTATTTTATATCAACTCGTGGCCCCTCAAAGCAATCTTGCACCAGCATCTTACAATATTAAAACAGAAAAAATAAAGACAAAAAATATGACAATAATGGGAGCGAAGTACAAATAAGATTAACATGTAACCCTGTTTATTACAAATATTGTAAAAGTAGGTATTTTTTATTCTCAACATTGTTTGTCCGTGGAGAGTTCATAGGTTTAACCTCAATAAATAATTTTTAAAAAACGAGGTTCTTCGACCAAATCATCTAAATTAAACTGGAAGTTTTCATTATTTTCTCTTGATGGCAATACAGGAAGGTTTAGGAAAAGAAAAAAAAAGGCTTAATCTTATGTGAAAATAATCATGCTGCAGAAGAGCAAGGACATAATTGGGAGAACACTGTGATAATGTCAGAAGAGTTGTTCTAAAAACCAACAAGGCTGCTGTTTTATATCACATTGTTGGGGAAAGGGGGATAAGAGGCATCAAACTGGCAACACAAAAAAGGTTCCATAATAGTTGCAATTAAAGTTTCGCTCTCAAACAACCGAGCAGCGCAATTTACAGCGACCCTAAAAGTAGTATACATAGCATTAATACAATAATAATAAAATAAAAAGTATTACAAGAAAACCTATTTTGTTCATGAGCCTGTCAATTGAAAATGGAGGAATTACTATTTATACCAAGACATCTTGCATGCATAATGAATCCAAAATCCTTTTCTCTATCTGAAAACGAGATCCTGTCAACCAATAAACGTATGCGTGTGCTTTTCCGTGTCGTCATTCCTGTAGTCTATGATACATTACAATTACAACCTTCAGCAAAAAAAAAGTCCCTTTATCATATTCTGAATGACTGCTACTAAATGTAGTGAAGCAGTACTTCTTTCCTATTGCCAATATAACAGCTTTTTCAAAAAAGTGTCTGATTGCAGCAAATGTCGGTCCCCACTGGGGCCAATTCTGAGGAAGACTAAAGTCATCCATCTTGTTCTACAGCGCCTCTCTGTTGTGATCACTCCCCCTCTTTGGCTGTGTCTGCAGGAGCCGACTCCTCCTTCTGGGTGTCCGGGGGATCCTCAGTTGTGTGTGTAAGGAGGTCAGAGCTCTCATTTTCCAGGGAGCTGGTAGCTGACTTGTCTTTTGTTTCACTATCTGCAGCTGGAGAGCTCTGTGCCTCCTTCACAGGTGTCTCCTCGTCCTGCTTTGCCTCCTCTGATGGAGGCATGTCTCCCACCTCAGCTGCCGTTACATCTGTCTCCATTTCCGTCTCCAATTCCTTCTCCTCCATTTCAGACTTATTTTCCTCAACTGGAACTGTTGTTTCTTCCACAGTCGAGTCCTCCTCCACAGGGGGGATTTCTTCTCCTGCAGGACTTATCGGTTTATCGTCTTCAATGGGAGCCATGCCTTCCCCCATCATCTCCTCCTCTTCCTCAATCTCATCCTCCAAAGGGGGGATCATCTGCTCTTCCCTCCCTCCGGGGAAGAGCCTTTCTGGGTAGACGAGTTTCACCTGCTCCTCAAAGTAGTCCTCCAGGTACAGACCTGCACTCCCCACATCTGAGGTCACCTGTACAGACAGTGCATACAAATAGAGGAGAAAATGATAGAGTATGTACTTTAAAGAAAGAAAGAAATGTCACTGGGGAGTTTTGGCATTAGACACGACTATATTACAATCACTTTTCGTAGATATCCGTTATAAAAGTGTTTACCTTGTAGTATTTCGCACAGTTTAAAAATATGAGCCGGACATCTGCGACAAACCCGTCTGGACCGCTATAGCCTTCACCTCCCTGCGCCTTGGACTCCAGTTTCTTCTTCACTATCGACAAATCCATCGGGGTCTTAATCAGCTCCTTGTACCTCTTTGTCTCCTACATTAGAAAATAACGTTATCAGCTCGTACACCTGATATAAACATACTGATATGTGTTTCCAAAGAGGAATAGCACAACTTTGACTTCTGTCTCAAAATACAGTAACTTACTGATGGAGTAGCGGGCTGCTGGAAGTCAGTGCTGAAGTCATTGCAGAACAGACGCAGTAGCAGCCTCTCACACCTCTGTAAATTGAAAAATAACTAAATCAAACATTGAATGTATCATATTATGGCGATGTTTGATGAGACAGTGGAAAGACTGACTATACAAACCAGGCTTAAGTAATGAAATCATGCACAGAAAGGTAAATAACAGTTATTTATACCCTTCTTTCTGGGGGCGGGAATCCCTCAGAGACGGGGTCGTCTTTGCCCTTGCAGTCGTACTCCATCTCAGGAGCGGCGAGGTCTCTGCAGAGCGAACAGAACCACTCCCCGCTGTGAAGAGACACAAGGACAAGAGAAGCTGCTTAGTATGATCAAAAGTGTTCTGTCTGTGGCTGCTGTAAGGGCTGTCTGCACAACCAGCCAATGTTAGGAAAGTAAAAGACCTAAGAACAGATTATCACAATACCCATCAGGAAGCTCTTTAGAAATGTAAAGCAGGCTGATTTTACATTATCAGTGACAGAATACGGCGTACTGTACATGTGATATTTCTGACGCATTATAACAGGGCCTAACATTGTTCCATTTTGACAACAAGAAACTGAAGAATTGCAGTTTAATATCTTTTTTTGTAAAATATTTTCCTCAAAAAACATATTTCTTACCATTTCTTTCATTCATACTATTGTAAACAAAATAAAGACAAGTATAATAACTGAATGAAAGAAACATTCAAACGGTTTTTAGTCATTCAAAGAACATATACCCCCAAAATCTAGAAACACTCAACAATATTAAGAACACAAATCTCTACAATTCGTGATGATAGAATTCGATTTTTTGTGAAATATGTAATGTTAAAATTCTGTAAATCACAGAAACAGTGGTTATGAATCCGGATATACTCTATGACAAAATAATAACTCTCAAAGATAAAGTGCCTTCACAGCAGAAATAATGACTGCAAACGTATTCATGTGGGCAGTAACATTTAATTATGCATCTATAGCCCCGAGGTCTCTCACCTCGGTGACTCGTTCAGAGCGGGGATGTGGCAGGCCAGGTGAAAAACTTTGGGACATTTGTCGCAGCAGAGCAGCTCCCCTCCGTTCTGACAGACGGCGCACCAGTCCTCGTTGGGATCTTCCACCGGCTCCGCCCTCTTCTCAGACTCTGGCTCTGCTGCGGGATGCTGCTCTTTCCCAGACTCTGACACAGGGAGGGAGACCGGGATGGACACCTTGATCTGCGGCCGAGGAATCGACTGAGCCCCGGTGCTGCTGTCCGGCAGGCTGGACTGCACCTGCAGGGAAACAAGACGTGGGATAGACGCAGTTAGACACCAAGACACTTTTTTTATATGTGAATATATAGGCCTCGAACATAGGGAAATTCCTTGTGTTAAGAGTTACGGCATGGGCTTACGAAATAAATATTTATTTGTCTTATGTACGAGTCTATTGACGGAACTTGTTTTATTTTACATAGCCTTCGACATGCTTTAATGACGTCATTCTGCATTAAGCATTCCTATCCAATCTCAATAAAAAAAAATTCAAAAAGCAATTGAACAACCTTGACATCCCAGTAGATGGCGGTGTGTCGCAAGTGCATCACAGAAGTCCCTCCCTTTCAGGTGGACCTCCATGGGACCTTATTTCGGAAAAAGTATGTATTGAAGTCAATGGGGAGAGAAAGGTTATCTTTCAATTCCGTTTGAATTGTGCCACAAATTACACATATGATGTTTGTCAATTTAAAAGATAATTTTGCAAGTCAAAAAAATTCTAATGTGTCGTAAAAATGTGAAGTAACACTTTTTTTTGTGTGAATCCACTCAATGAACTACATCTCCCGCCTCGCACCACACACCAAGATGGCCGTCACGTTGGCACATCTCACTTCTTTCTTTCAGAATGAGGCAAAAAGTATTAAACGAGGTGAAAATCACTACAAGTCTGGGCATGTTGAGAGCTGTACATACACAAAAGGGGAGTTAGTCGGTTCCGTAAGAGCCAGCATGCGGGACCAGGATTCTGGGATTTGTAGTCTTTCTAGTTGCGTATTTTTCATAGTCTTATATTTCAACAGTTTTACGACAAACTGTGACTTTTTTGGCATGGAAATTATTTCTTAAGATTGACAAACATATGTGTAATTCGTGGCACAATTAAAACGGGATCAAGAAATAAGTTTTCTCTCCCCATTGACTTCAATACATAATTTTTCCGAAATAAGGTCCCATGGGTCGGAAGTAGATGGGCGGGACTTCGCCTCTCTATACACACTATGCTAACTGAAACGATTCTCAATATATATCAATCTAAACTTTTATAACCTTGTTGGGACTTATGTAACGTGCGAGTCATTCTCTTACGAATCTGACTTCATCCTCGTCCTCTGGTTCGTCCTTGATGACGATGACTGGCCCCGGTGACGCTCTTCTTCTTCTCTTGGATGGTGGAGCAGCTGGAGCCTCCGCAGTCTGCTTCCAGGGAGTCGTCCTTCAGCAAAGAGATTACCGGAGAAAATAGAAGGGAAAATTATGACCATGATATAATAAAAAAATACACATTGGCATTTGAAAGACCAGACAGTGATTTTAATATTTTTTTCCACTAAATCACTAACATGTCACTTGTATAAATATTAGAAAGTTGAATAAATAGGTGTCAGAAGGACATATTCCAAATTGAAAGATAAATAAGGGAAACAATTAGAGTGTAGACCAGGACAAGATTACACACAACCGCTGCCAAAAAAATGACACAATTTAAAGTTATGTCAAGGTTGTGCGTAGGCTTCTAATCACGTATCAAAAGCAGCACTTCTCACGCGTCTATCAGGCATAAATGTAATACATTACATGTCACTTGTTAGACGCTTTTATCCAAAGCGACTAACATACATTCAGTACTGTGGACAATCCCCACAGGAGCAATTTGGGGTGAAGTGTCTTTCCAAGGGACACAACGACATGCTGACTGCAGTGGGACTCGAACATGATACCCCCTGATTCCAAGTCCAGCACACTACCCACTGAACCACGGTCTCCCTATATATAATACATATTTATAAAAGAACCATTGTGTGTCTCACTTCAGCACTAGACACCTGACTTAAGATGGTAAAAATGGTCTTTAAGATTAGTAGTGTGATGGTAAATGTTAGAAAATGTCAGCGCACCTTTAATATATTTTTACGACATCTATCACTGCAATAATCTCCCTCCTAAATGGCTCTACTCATTGCGGTGATAGCACAGTGACACACAAAAGTGAGTGAGGAAGGAAACACCAGTCCAGCACTGATAGGTTTAGAATGAACTCCCCTTAATACAACATAAAATAAAAAAGATACAGAGAACAGTGGACAAATATTTAAAAAATAAACTGTGATAGGAGTGGAGATGCTGTGATAAAGACAGATTAAATGATCTTTTCTTACCCTGTGCCTCTGTCTGAAGAAAACACTTTGGCCATTGGGGAGTTTTGCCTTGCTTGAACTTGAGAGAAGAAGACAAGAAAAAACATTTTAAGTTTCGAAGTTGTTATGACAAGATTAAAGGGGCCCTATTGTGCATTTGGGGGTTTTCCCTTTCCTGTCTTGTGTTATAAAAGGGCCCCTTTAATTGAAGACGCAGGACAGGATCTTTATGGCTGTTGCTACATCAGAGGAGTAATAATGACCTGCTGCTAAGTAATTGAAGGTGCTCATTTTGTCCGTAGTTGCTGAAGCTTGACTTGGAGCAAAGCTTGGTTTGGGGATGGAGATGGTGATGGAGGGGACGGATCCACCTGCCTCACTCCTCTTCAGGAAGGAAGCCTCCGCTAGGCTCCGCTTTGGGAAACAAAAAACGATTAGGGCTTCGTTAAAGTTACACACAAAAAAACACCAATAACTATTTCTCTCTCTGGAATCACGTTGGACTAGAGTAGGTCCCTCTTCATTCTCCTGCCTACCTGATGGTGGGACATGTGTGCAGCTGCTCCAGCAGACGGAGGCGGTGGGTAGCGGGACGCACCCTGCAACATCTCCATAGGTTTAGGAGGATAGGTGGAGCCATGGATCAGCTCTCTCAGAGACTACATAGAGAGGAAAAAGTTGACAAACAAATGTAGGTTTAGAAAAAATGTAAAATGGATTCAGTTTGTCTGTTTGGGGCCTGAAACTGTAGGCCTTTAAAATCCTGGAAAGACCCTCTACATATAAACAATATTAGGCCACTTATGATTAGATTTTCCAGTGAAACATTTAGACTTTTATTGAGAACAAAATACCGATAAAAAAAAGAAGAAGAATCTTACAAATATTTCAAAACTGTTTAAAATATTCAAAGAAAAGTCATTAAAAGAAAAGTGGGCTGAATACAACACCAATGGGGGCAATTTGGTACTTGACACTTTAATAAGCACAAACTACAAAACCTTTCCACATGTTTAGCATTCAGAACATACAGTACATTCAGAACATACAGTACATTCAGAACATACAGTACATTCAGAACATACAGTACATTCAGAACATACAGTACATTCAGAACATACAGTACATTTCTCACACGACACATCGTTATCTTTTACCTGCGCACTGACCTGATGGGAGGGGAAGCCTGTGTTGTGGAGCATGGAGGAGGTGGGGCTTCTAGTGCTGGGCTGGGAGCTCCCGTATCTGCGGCCTGGCTGTGCCATGCTTGGGGGGCCTTGGGAGGGGGAGGACCCTTCGTGGATGGGTCTGGTTGGGGGTGGGGGACCGGGGGGCCCTGGGAGTCTGACATTTTGGTACCAGGACCAGTGGTTAGGGGGGGGTTGCCTTTGGGGCTGCTGTGAAATCTTGTCCACCTTGGACAGAGGAACAACAGATGTCTATCAATGGAATAGATGACAATAGAGTACATGGTTAAAAGCAGTGAGCAGAGAGTAAAGGAGCATTGAACAATAATTAATGGATTGGTACGGTGAAAGTCCTACCTGCATCTGGAGCTGAGCCAGCGTGCTCTGTCGCTGCTGAGCTGAGGCGGACATACCTCCGGGGGGGGCTTCTGCTCTGGGACCTGCAGGGTGGTTGAGGGTAGGGTGGTTGAGGGTGGGGTTGGGGTTGAGGTTGGGGTTGGGGTTGGGGTTGGGGTTGGGGTTGGGGTTGGGGTTGGGCGGCCGGGCGCCAGGGCTCCTTTCTACAACCAGCGAACCTGGAGAAAAGAAGCACACAATCAGCAATTTAATAATCAGCAGCAGGACTTGGGAGAAACTAAGCTTAATATAAGGCCTGTGTAAAAATTGTGTATTTGTCTGAGCAACAGCATCTTTTTCAAATATTTTCAAAAAGGAGTGAGTACATGAAGCAGTCTTGGGAAAACCACTCTGTGCACTTCAAGTCAAACAAATATTTCAACTTTTCAGAAAAGCGCTGGTATGCTGTCAAGACACTTTTGGCATAGCAACATAAAAGAAGATGCGAGGAGGCTTTCTTTCTGCCAGCAAAAGACAGAGCCTAGGAGAGTACTCAACCATTGTCAGAGACACGATGGATGAACCAGAGATATTGCTTTTCTCAATTCCACCCATTAGACTTTCTCAAAACTCGGTGCCTTCATTACCCACAATGCAACTCTATTGTTTTTTCAGCATCTTAAAAATGTTTGAGATGCTCAAAAAAACATTATCCATTAGTGTTTTTTGTTATTACTTAACCAAAAATATAATCAAGAGGAAAGATTATGTAAACAAAAAACACGAGATAAAGAAATGAAGGAGATTAAATAACTAACTTGTTTCCTAGATACAAGAGCACACTGGCATGTTAAGTCACTCATAAAGTAGGTTAAGTGTAAGTCTTACCAAGGTCTACATTGGTGGCCCAGAAACCAGAGCGACACTGAAAGCGAACAGAACTCTGAGGGACGATTGAGGGATTACAGCTCGCTCTCATTAGGTAATGAATCTGAAAGAGGATCTAGAAAACAAAAAGACATTTTAAAGAAAACGGAGATTATAAGATATATATAGTGAAGAGTAATTCAGATGGCCGTTTGAAGTCAAAGTCCCCCACCAGTCTCTTGCAGTACAGCAGGGCTGTTCCACTGTGGCTGGCTGTGGCCCATTTGGTAAAGTTGATCACATGATCCAGGTGCCTGCTCAGGGAGTTGACGTCGTCTTGCTGCTTTTTCAAACCCAGCTCGTGATCCTTAGTCAGAGCCTAGGTGGAAATGCATCATGATTAATAATCAATCTAAAGGTCATAACGGTCTTTTAAAAGCCACTAAACAATGCGTATTAAACATACCTCAAGATGGTTAACCAGAATCTTCCCCTTCCTGTTGATCTCCATGATCAGGCCACAAATGGACTTCTTTATTTCATTAGTGACCGACTTCCGGTTCTCATCAACATGCTGGAGTCTGTGGAAGGGAATTTGGATATAAGCATCAGTCTATACAATATACAAATGATCTTGAACGTTTTTAAAGTATGACAAATGTCGATCCTCTAATTAAGTTCAAGCTATACAGGATTTTACCCGTTGCTGATACAGCCGGACACTTCCGCGATGGCCCTTCTTTTGTCTTGCAACTGCTGCGTCATGTTCTCCAGATACTGCCTGTGGTTCCTGTACGCATCCTCCAAAAACTGGTAACTGGACAAAAGGAAAAGTATAACTATTCCTGAAAGTTCATTTTTATGACAAATGTTTTTGGCCCGGTTCAATTTAGTCCAAAATCCGCTTACTTGTGATCCTTGTGCTTGAGCAGCTGACAGTCCCGACAGGTGAGCCGGTCGCACGTCTCACAGAACAGCTTCAGCGGTTCCTGCTTGTGGACATCACAAAACACGGGCTTCTGTGTGGACATACCTACTGCCTCTGAGAAACATACGTGGGGAAATGAAGAACAGCGTATGGTCAGCTTATGGTTTCTAGAATAATTAGTTTAGCTTTGAAACACCAAAAGAAAGTGACTGATCAGTTTGTCTACATGTTTTAAAGGCAATTAATTATCCTTTTTTTTGCAACCAGGTAAAAAGTTTGTCATGGAAACACACTGTATAGCTTACAGTTGACTGCAACAATGCAATTCATAATCGCTACAGTAAAGCAGGCAACATCTAAATTGGTTTAAGTTCTTCTTTTTGCAGAGTATTTCTTGACTTAATGGCGTACAAACACACACTACCTGGAGACATCTCCTCTTTCTGGCGTATGGTGTGATCCCTGGTGAACTTGACCCTTTGGTGCGCCTCGATACATGTCACACACAGAAACTCTACGCACTCCACGCAGTAACCAGTTGCCTCTGTGTTGTCCTCGCAGCTCATACACACCTGTAAAAGCCAAAAATAAATACATTGTAGTTTGGGGAGAGGGGTGTCATATAAACAATCAGTCGGGAGGAGAGTAAAGGGAGGTCTAACCTGGCTGGATTTCTCCACGGTGCTGCTCGGCATCTCAGCAGAATCTTTGACAAAGAAATTGTCCAACATGTCCATCTCCCAGCATTCCTGTCTGCATACTGGACAGCGTATGGCACCCACTGTTGAAGAGACAAGATCCACTATTAAAGCTCACATCTGCCAACATTAATTAGCTGGGTGACATAAGACAAGAAAGCAATCCCTCAGGCTTTTCATATGATATTGACACAGAGACAGGCTGTGTTTTGGTATTGACTTTGTATTTGAGACAAGATGTTAGTTAGTTACATATACATACAAGTGTATGCTGGTCTCAAATGCTGTTTCAGCTGTGTATAAATATCCTGACAGCAACAACAATTATCCCCAAACCTATGCCATATGATATCAAAGTCAAAAGATATTGAAATGTACATCATCCGGACCCAATTTAAAAGAAATGGACACTATTTTTAGACTGTCAATAACTTACATTTCTGCTAGCTAGCCCAATCTGTGTCATTTCTAGATATAAAGAGCTTCTCTGTCACAGTTACCGCAATCATCAAAACTGGTATCAGAGTTGCAACAATACTTTACTCACATGATTTGTTGTTGTCGAGTTGACCTTGCGTGTCACGTCTTGGATCAGCACTCCTGAAGGGGGCTGGGAGACACCTCTTGCAGAAAGAGTGCAGACATGGTAGTAGTTTGGGCTCTCTGTTGTGGAAGCTCAACTTGCAGACGGGGCAGGTATCCATGAGCCCGAAGGTGCCTTGCTGTTTCAGCCTCTCTTCCTCGGCTGGCAAACTTTCTGCCTCGTTTTCCACGATAATGACAATACCGTCGGTGACAACCTTTTCGGCACTCTCATCCATGTTCCCCCACCCTGCTGATGCCCGATTCCTTCCTAGCAATCAGTATAGCGTGGCGATTGGAAACAAAGGATATCCTGACTTAACAAGCCACATAAGGAATATAAATACTATGCCTTAACACATTAAAGACATAGTGGTTCCATCCCTCAAAGCCGTTTGTTTTTAACTTAGCAATAACAGTTGTAGTGTAACTGTTAATTGTTTCCGTCTACAATGCTACATTAGCAATGTAGCTCATTTTATTGCACATATAAAACAGACGATAAACAAGGGAGCCCCCAGTTTGCGGCGTTTCCTATTCAAACAGGAGAAATATAACAGCGCAAAGTCGGTTGTAAATTAAAATTACGTTACATACATAGTATTTTGAAACGTATATGTCCATAGAAAAGGCGACCATCTGTTTATTCTTTGCTCATAACACTTAGCATATACTACCCAGACGGCACTGCGGTATTTTAAAGCTACAGTGCCCGATTGAGGCCAAAAACCCTTCTGAGAAAAAGCCAGTGGCAAAATTCCAGATTTACATGTGACTAAGATATTGTGGTTTATCTCTCGGCTACTGTAGAAAAGGCCCCAAAGTTGTAGTTATTGATATATATATATATATATATATTATTTTGTTATTCGGGCCCAATCCCAAACCACTCCCTCGACCCTACCCCTCCGTGACGGAGTGAACTCCGTCTGTAGGCACACTCACAGCTGAATGAAGTTCCCTCCATTAAGTGTTAAGGGTATAAATCAAGCGGCAAACTGTGGGGTAGAGCCGGGAAGCCAATACGGAAGTGCCACACACTGCAGTTCATATATTGGCCGATAGGCGATGGCTGCAGAAAGGACCCCCATGTTAAAATGCCCAACTTTACAGCAGAAAAAAACATGTTTCTACCCCTGGCTCCATACATTTTATTATCGATATAGTTAGATTCCACCTTCATGATTATGGATCTGTGAGTGAATTGTTTTCTAACGCGACCCTTTTATTTATATTAGGTCTTAAAGTTTGTGCATCAATTAGGGCGTGGTCACATTGAGTGACGGCTCTGTCAAGTGCCTGCCGCTGTTAGCTTCTTGTCTCTCTGCTAGCTGCTCCGTGAAGCTAGCTACAGGGACTCTGCCTGCTCAGCTCATCCAGGAAACACAACTTGTAGCCGGCCGTGGTTGTTTGTTCTTCATGCTTATATATCGGACTATTGTGACTCGCTCTGCGGTTAAAACAGACGGTGCATGAATGCGGTTTTGCGGTAAGTGAAATTCTAGTGCTTTATTTATGTGTTAATAATTTTAATCAGCCACGTAATCAATGGTAAGGCTTGGGTTAGCATGTAAGCTAGTGGTAGCTACATCGGTGCTAACGATTGTAATCGTAGCCTCCAAGTTAAAATCATAGACTGTATATAAAGGTTAAAACGAAATAGACAAGTGTTAAGTGTGATAATACTGTTGAACAAACGGCTTCTGTTTGAGGTTGATAAAATAAGGTTACATCCTTGTAACTTAGAGAGATATTTTATTATGTAGGTAGACCTGTATGCATCTAAGGTTAATTTAAATTGGCTACGATCAAGTATGTAGACAAGCTAATGTCGAAGTAGTGTATGTGAAATCAACCTCACAATAAGATGTGTGTATATTGCAATTATTAATGTCATATTTCAAGATGATTACTTAGATATTACAATATGGTTGGTTGAGCTGGAGTTCATTATTGAGCTTACACGTTAACGTCATCTGAAGAACGAACCCAAACCTTGTTGTTTTTATTAATTGCATTACCAAATGGGTATCAAATAAACAGTAAGCATTGGTAACACAACTTCCAAAGTTACAGTAATATAAAAAGGACCCTGACTCGGACAATACACAATCCAACATGTTCAACAGAAGAGAATCAGTTATATTGTTTGTACAAATGGTACTTTATATATATCTGTTTGTTTAAGGTGTCCAGGTGATGCAGACAGGCTGGACCAGAGAGTGAGAGACAGAACTGGACTCCTCACAGCAGTGAACTTCAGCTCAGGTACAAAGACTCTTTTTTTCATACTGTACAAAGAATCAAGAAAGATATTGGTTTAAATGAATGAAGTATTGACTTGAATACACTGATATACATTCCATTAAACAATACTAAATACTAGATCACCTACACATCAGTTAAGTTGAGGGGTTTTTCCATGCAAAAAGTTACATTTAGATATTTAGCAATATGACTGTCAGCTTTCTAATTTAATGTATTGAAGGCAAATATATTTAACACATAGTGAGAACTGCTACTATTTATCTCTCAATATTGTCTGTAAAAAACGTGGTAAAAGTTATTATTTCAGTGAGACAACAGAGCAAGCTTCTACAGTTGCACTACGTTTTGAAAACAGTTAAATATTATTTTGATAATAACATATATTTCAATGTTGATGAACTTCATACTGTTCATTCATAATCTGATTGTCTTTGTAGCTCACTGTTGAAATAAAATAAAAACATTACAATTACAAAATAATTATATCTACAGCCCCTAAACACACAAACACACCGCTTTCATAAATAACACACTTGTTCTGCAATAATATGTTTTATGTTTCCTGTCATTTTTGTTAGGAAAGGACATGCCTGAAAGACACGACATTTTCTCCTGCTCTGAGGGTCAAGAAGAACATCCAAGAGGAACATTAAAAGCTGATGTTATGAGATTTTAAGACCAGTACAGGACATTCACTAAGAAACTACTTTTATTGTAAAAACACAGTCAGCTGATCGAATGCAGCTATTTCCACATCTACACTCCATCCGCTGATTATTTCTATTTGCCTCACTTTATGAGCTTCACAACATGTACCTTGTTTTGCAACGTCACAAATAAATGGGGCCAATCTTCAGTCAGATGTGAATGTGTAATCTAACATTTTCAGTAAGAATAATGGACAAAAGGAGAGCAAATACAATTTATTGAAATGTGAACCAAAAGTTAATCAAATGTTTTAAATAAAAAGCACATATGGACAAAAGGTGTAAACCTATTAAATGTATAAGTAAACACATTTAGTCAAATAAAGTGACCGACTAGGCCTGTGCGGTTGGTATCAGCTTTGCCCAGCATGGGCTCCTCCATCAGGCCTGGTCCTCCTCGCAGAGGAAAGACCCTCAGTCCTCCTCGCAGAGGGAAGACCCTCAGTCCTCTCCAAACCAACAGACAGGACGTCCATCACACGGAGGTTTCTCCCTGAAGTCTCTGCTGCTCTCTGGACACCATGCTGTCTCAATCCGTCCACACTGAATATGAGATTGGGAAAATGAAAATAATAAATGCTTTAGACAATAAGAAACATAAAGTTGACTGTTGAGTTGCTCAGTTTTTTTAGATTGTCAATACTATTACTGTATAACTAATATCTCAGGTTAAGAGGCACCTTCAAATAAAGAATGGCCTTTAAAAAAAATGTGTCTTTTGAATTGTTTGTCTAAAGTCAAGGATCTATAACTGGTACTTAGTTTTAATGATACAGTCTGGTTATTATGCTGTTTGGAGGAGGCCTCACAGGTAAGAGCGCTAACTAGCTTCCATCACATGTACGTTAGCTTGACTTAAATGTATAGTTAAGTGATATCAAAATATAAATAACTAATGTCATGCAAACATATTAATATTTGCTTGATTCCAGTGTTGAATTTAGCACAATTGCATACAAACGTTAAGGGGTTTTAAGATTCTGAAGTATTATGTTAAAACTCGATAACTTAGATTATTATTTATAGTTTTGCTGAATAGTTTCATGTCCGCTTACCTTAGAAACGTAAAATGCGACGGCAGCGTGCAGATGAGGAGCATGTTAGCTTAGCTTGGTAGCTTCAGCTAGCTCTGGCACTTCCAGCTCGGTGGCAGGAGGTCCCACCTCGGCTCCGCCTCTTTGCCCTTATTTGGAGCAGGTGTCAGTACCAGATATGTTCGGCCTACCAGATATGTTCGGGTGTATTTCCGTCGTATCCGTCATCCGTCATATCCGTCATATACTCACCTCCCTCTGCTCCCAGCGCTATGCTGCCACACACCGGCCGTCTGCGGAACTGCAGCCGGAGGAACTCGGTACAGCTTGTTATGTGTGAACGATCTAGATCCCTCCGCTTCCCCATAATTACCGCGACCATTTTAACTTTCATGACAGAAATGGAGAGCTTTTATGCTGAGATAAAGCAGTACGTGCTCAATGGTGGTTACCACAATCTCACCATCGCCGCTGAAAAGCATGATAAAAGGAAGGCGTTAATTCGGAGGGCATCCAAACAATACCTGATCAAAGGTAAGTAACAGAATAAGACCATGGTTAAGTCACGAACATACGTTTTTATTATGAGGTATAAACCCCCTGTACATGTGACATCATCACATCCCTTTACTTATAGGGATCAATAAAGTATATATCTATCTATCTATTTATCTAATGGTGTTTTTTGGTGCAAAAGTGATCATACCTCTAATGGTTTATCATATTGCAATTCCAACATTTTTCAGTAAATCGCAAGGACTCCACAGCTTGTTTCTCCTTTTTCTTTTTATACACACTTTACATTACTGTAGTTGTTACGTCTAAACCACATTTGCCACTGGATTTCTTCAACAGCTTTTAGTCATAATGTCATCTCTACACATGTCTAAATGATTGTTTTGTTGTTCCTGTTGTGCCAGCTGGAGATTTGTACTACACATACAAGGACAATGAGAGGATGGTTGTGTGCACCAAGGACCAAATTATCAATGTCCTGAAGGAGTGCCATGATAACCTGGGTTTCGGAGGTCATGCAGGGAGAAGGCGCACCACCGAGAAGGTTTTGTCAACGTACCACTGGTCCACTATGCGGGAGGACGTGAAGAAATGGGTGGGAGTTTTTGACTGACTGACTGATTATTGATCTACAGAAATGTGTTGTATGTGTACATTGAAACAGAGTGAGACAGTTTGAGCTCCATCAGAGCAGAGAAAACATATTTCAGAACTTTAACAGTTTAATTCTGTCTCCTCTGAAAGTTTTCTCTGTTCTATCATTTTTATACCTAAAGTTTTTTGTTTTGCTGATTGAAAATGTATGATATTTGCTAAGGTTGATGAGTGTCCCCGCTGCCAGCAACACGAGGTCATTAAAACGGTTGCACCCGTACTGCATCCCATTCATGTTCCCGAGGCATGGACTGTCCTTGGTGTGGATCTCATTGGCCCACTTCCCTCCACTGCTAAGGGCAAAAGGTACTATCATGATGGGCTGAAGCATGTGTAACCTCCTTTAAAGGTTCTAAACGTGAAGAATCTGGTTTCAAAAGAAAGGAAATCATTTACAGTGATTCTGTATGTATTTACAACATTCTGCATTTTATATTGCAGATACATTCTAACAGCGACTGATCTGTTCACGAAGTGGGTGGTAGCAAAAACGCTCTACCACAAAACAGCTGTTGAGGTCTCAAAAAAGATTGTAAATATTCTTCTCGATTTCGGTCTTGTCGAGAAGATCATTACCGACCAAGGACGGGAATTTGTCAATGAGGTACAATAATCTATCTAATACAGTGTATGTGTTATGTGTAACAATGTAATACGATTTTTCAGGTAATTTGGTAATTGGTGTACACTAAACCATCTGCAGGTCAACCGTGGTGTTTTTGATGCACTGGGTGTAAAACACTGCATCACTTCAGCGTACCATCCCCAGTGCAATGGCCAAGATGAGCGTACAAACCAAAACATAAAAAAAGCACTTGCAAAGTACTGTGGAGAGGACCAGAATGACATCTGAGGGGCATTGTGGCGAGCATTAACACCTCAAAGCAGGTACAATGTTGTAACAAATGCAGATGGAAACAATACTCAACAGAGATACTAAAAGGAATTTTTATGCTTTCAGAGGTCAACCAAGTGCACGCCCTATTTTGCCCAGTTTGGGAGGCACCCTCGCGTCCCGGGTGTTATAAATGCTACAGTCAATGACAGGGATGATACCTCTGTTTTGGTGCCTGCTGATGAGGCAGAACAGCAGCTTGAGGCAAAGGCTGCAACCATTGCAGATTTGCACTCGAAGGTGAGAATAAAATGGCAATATTTAAAACATAATAACTCCTAAAAAATGCAAGCGTATGTTAAGGACTGTAAATGATAACTGTTACATATCTTTCTCAGATTTACCAGAACATCCAAATAGCACAACAGAGACAGAAAATCTCTTTTGAAAAACGCAAGGGAAAGAATGTGAAATCTTTCCTGATTAACGTTGGAGATGAGGTCCTAAGAGCGAATAAGAGGAAGGAGGGCCGAAAAGGTGGAAAACTGGAGTGCAACTGGTTTGGCCCTTATGTGGTTTCCTCAATCACCAACAAGGGTGTGGCAACCCTGTTGAGCTCAACAGGAGCTCAGCTGAGACAGAGTGTGAATGTGTCTCAGCTGAAGCCCTTTATCAGGCCTATGTTGAGAGGTATTTTGATTATCAATACAAGGACACATTTTAGGTATACTTCATGTGTGGTACTTCAATAATACTGTTTATTTTTTGTCTATCTAATAACAGCTGAACCGAAGTTGGATTCGGAGGGGTCTATTGCTGACCACCAGTATGCCCTCTCTGGTGCGAAATACGCAAAGGATCTACATCCGATTCAAGACAAGCTGGTAGATATATGTTTACTTCATGCACAGTGATTTGATTTTAATTTTTCTATGTTTTCTATTGGCTTGAAGTATGTTTTGCAATCTGTTATTTGCAGCTCAGCTATGTGCTAGACCACAATAGGCCTGGAGCAGAGGTCATTGTGAAGGAGGGTGATGTGTGCCTGACCAGAGAGGACTTTTGGAGCCTGGGTCTTCCTCAGTGCATGGAGTCAAATGTAGGTATACTTGAGCTTTCCTCCCAACTTCATCTTGTCTCAAATAAATGGCACAGGTAACTTACTGTTGTTACTGTTTCAGATTGGAAACACGTGCCTGAAGATGGTACAAGAAGCCAAAGACATGTACGGTTTTCAACAGACATCATTGGCCTGCTTTTTTCTTTTGAATAACACATATTTTCTAAATAGCTGTTTAGTGGTGAAACTCCAATCTCGTGAAGTGTGGTTGTCTCTTGTTGTTGAACATACTTCTATGAAGATTTCATTTTTTTTGAAAAACTATCAATATAGGGCAAAGATATATACATCGTGGATATGTATGTGGTTCCTACCTGGAAGTCCAAAACAGCTGACGCGTTGGCCAGTTTTCCAGTAAGTTCCTGTTGCTTGAGACCTATGTTTCTTGAAATTGATATACAGCAACTTAAAATCCCTTGTTTAAAATACTAGGCTGACCAATTGGCCACCAAGGACATGGTTTTCATCCCTGCCTGGAGTCGGCAGCAAGGAAAGGCAGATCACTATTTGCTTTGCGTGAGTCTGTTCCAAATGATCTCACCAGCATGTACAAAATGAACATAAGTTGTGCTGTGTGGTTTTCTTCTGGTGTTTGATTATGTCTAATTTCAGCTATTTTGTCAATGGTTGACAGGTGATCAAGCCAGCAAAGAGAGAGTTATATTTGCTCGACCCTCTTAAGCCAGATGGCTTTGGGGACAATTCCTACAAGGACATATTTAGGTTTTTGTAACATGATTACCCCCACCGTTCTGTGGCTTGTATGGGAGTTCTAAATAGTTTATAGTATTCTAATACTGCAGTAACCATCTTGTAGACCAGGGGTCTGAATCTGATCAAATTCATTTATAATATATCTCCATTTCCACAAAGTCTGGAGTGTCCTTAGTGGAACCAAAAGAAAAAGAGTCTGCAACAGGATGCTATGAATTATAATGTTCATTTTGTTATAAGCCTTGTTCAAAGGTTGTTTTCAAGTTCAGCTTTGTTCAGAGGCTGGTAAACGTATTTTTGTTTGTTTTATTTTAGCCCCGTTCAGTGGCTTTCATAACTTTCCTCTTTTAAGGCATGCAATAGTTCAATGTAAGGAAATCCAAAAACATGAATTATATTGAGTATAGCGTTCCTTCACCAAATCAATTCCCATGTCTTATCATTTCTTTTGACAGTGACCTAGCGCACCGCATTGCTCCAGGTCAGTGGACAGTAAAGTTCGGCAGAGACGTCAAGGTACATTTCTCCACCATCTCATACACCTGCTTTCACATGTCTTTATTTTCCATTTGACCATGAACATCACTGTTATATTCCAAATTCTTACAGGGTTTGCCTCACCAAACCACGGGCAATGACTGTGGTGTCTTCATACTGATGGTAAATTCCTCCCTTGACACTTTTTTTTAAGGGGTTTTGTTAGTTTTTGAAACTCATAACTTAACAGATCTTTATCCTTTCACAGTATGCACTCAACTTCAGCACAGATGCTCCACTTTGGTTTACCGAGGTCAGTATTTATCCTCTGAGTTAGTATTTCAGGGGGAAGAGGGGGCTAACATTGAGTAGACAAATGATGAGGTTCCATTCATTTTCAACTTTATTATTGTTACATTTTCTTTTAGCGGGACATAGCACAGATCCGGAAATGGTGGTGCATTATGCTCATGGAACGGTACCAGATTGAAGGGTAAATCATACATTTTAAATGTTACTTTATAGACAACAGTTTCTTTGACACTGATTTACATTTTCATCCTGATATTATGTGATTTTTATAGCCATGGACAGAGGTTTTCTTACTGGACCAATGAGGCCGAAGAGCTGCTCAAAGGGGCACTGGAGCCAGTGTACAGGGTCTCAAAGAAGCAAAAGACAGAACATGAGGTCAATAGGCACACTCCTGTTTGTGATAAAGAAATGTAACAATCCAGATTATTTAACACATGCATACATATCAATATTGATAATTGTATACACATGTAATTAAACAATCACATGACCCACACCTTATATTTTCCTTCAAAGGTCCAGTTTCAAAAGTCCGACATGTGCTTCATATTGGAGGTAATATCTTTTCAGTGAAGCAGTAACTGTTTTTTGTTTAAAAAACGACCTATGATCACGGCAGAATTTCCAACTATTATGTCTCACTGCTTTTTTTAACTTTATTGATAGCTGTTTTTTACCTCAAGGAGAAGAATAACAAAACATAAGAAAAATGTGTGTGATATATTCAACATTAATATTAAAAATGTGTATTTTTGCTACCTGAAGCCCAAAGAATCTTGGTATTTCGATTGTGCTGGCAACAGTCTAGTCAATGTGTTGTTAAATATGTTTGATCTAGTCTGACCAATACTTCACAGCTGCCAAACTGTCTTCTCTCGGACCTTCTGATGGAAGTGGTTCTCCAGGAAGGTGACAAAGCGTACTAATAATTCCTTACATTTATTATAGCGCTTTATCAATGACTCAAAGCGCTTTACATATACACACATTACACATATATGATACATGCAATGGTCAGATACTGTGGACAATACCCACAGGAGCAAGTTCAGGTGAAGTGTCTTGCCCAAGGACACACCGGCTTTACAGACGCAGCAGTGGCGGGTTTCACCCCTTGATCTGATGATCATTGCACAGCGCACTGCGCCACACCGTCCATCTTCACGCCTCGAGGTCATCGAGGCGCTTTTACAGGTACACATTAGTATTATACATGTACTGTGGACAATACCCACAGGAGCAAATCCGGGTGAAGTGTCTTGCCCAAGGACACAACGGCCTGACGCAGTGGCGGCAGGAGCGGGTTTCGAACTGGAGTTCCCCAGCACTCCCCCTTGATCTGATGATCGGATGCACAGACCACTGCGCCACCCGTCCTAATCACTCACTCTAGTGTGTACCACCTTCAGAGACACAATGTCCACTGTGTCTTTCAGAAGAGGGGCCCACTTTCGCTGGCTTGAGAGTAAGTGATTCAGTGAAGGTGCAGCAGTATACGACAGCTGTGGTGTCTATGCATATTTTTAATGGCTCTATTGAAATGCTTGTTTTACACAGGTGTTGCTACATGGAGTTTGTTCTCTGCTTCATACAAGCAGGATTTCAACGTCATGTACACCATTGACACCTGCCGTGGATGCTTGGAGCCTTACAAAAACTGCAAACCAGGTAGACTTCTTATTCTGGATAATAATGTTTATGTGTCATTACATATTTAGTGTGTTGTGGTCCTAGTGTGATTCAATTACAATATTTTCTTTTTCTATTCATAGGATATGTTGGGAAAGGTAAAAGAGGAGAATTGCAGGGCATCTACTCTGATGACCAACATCCAGGCTATTGCAGTCCCTTCTGCAACCAGATATCATAGGTAAAGATTAACTCACACAAACAAATGTCAGAATAGACTAAATTGTCACTGCAATTAATGAAGATCATCATTTGATATCTTACCTTCAAGTTTGGTTTTCCCGGACGCTGCCCGTCGTGGACTTCGGGTCGTGGACTTCGGGTCGTGGCTGAACCTGTCTCTGCAGTCCTGCCTTGGGTCATGCTGCTTCCCTGATGGCTTCCTCATATATTCTGAACAATCTGTGCTGTTTTCCTATCCACATGTAAAAGGAACTAGAAGGATTTCTTGATACTAAGGGCTGTAGAGAAAAGTTTGGAGCTTTTTCCATTAACGTTGAAGTTCAAATTCTCAATAAACACTTGAATGCTGTGCTGTCTTTCTATTTACTTGAATGTGTGAATTCATTCAGTTGGGTAGGTAAGCTTGGGATGGATATATTAAATATATACATACAAAAAATTAGAGACTCTTTCCAATGAAAGTAGCTAGCCGCAATAGCTCCAAGATTGCTATATCTAGTTTGTAGGTCGCCAAGTTGGCATCATTGACAGTTCGTCTCTTAAAGCCTCTAAAGCTCTGCAACAAAAAAGGATCATTATGAATGTAAATACTATACATGGTAATGCAGCAGGGCATAGTGCGATGAGGCAGGCAGGCAGAACCAGATTTATTTCTAAATATTTGTCGATCAATATTAGGCTACACTAATATAAGGCTACTAGTATTATAATATTACTGCAATAATATTCCAGTGGTGGCTGCTTAAGGTTGTTTCTGGCTCGTTTGATCCAAACATTGTCCAAAGCTCAAAATGTATTGTAATAGATGTAAGAATTCTCAAAATGTACAATATGTTTTGATCCAACACAATATTCTGATTCAATCCATATATGTTAGGGGTTTTTTTTTCACCAAAATAAATAGACTGCCTTCTCTCCAGCTCACCGCACACAAAGGGGGGGGGGGGGGGGGGGGGGGGGGGGGGGGGCATCTGTATTAACGGGTCAGTCTATAAGCACTCTAATAGCACCATAAATTACATTTAAATAACCACAAAAAGACAATTATTGTTTCCGATATTGATTTAACGAGATGCTGTTATAACATGGAAACGGCTTAATTTAAAAAAATAAGCTTCAAAAATGTTTTATGAAGCACACTGGGTACAGCCCTGTAATACATGTGTTCCGTGTGTATATAGTCTTACGCAAGAAACACATAGCATGAACAGACTGCAACAAAACCAGTCTTACAAAACAGACTTCTGCTAAACTGGTGCAGAAGCAAAGCATCTGCCTTAGATGAAGTTCACACAGAACTGTGGAAAAGGGAGAACATCTGTACTTGCTTTCAACGACATGATCAGGCTTATATATTATAAAAGTGTTGGCTAAAGTAACGCAGAATATATATATTTTTTAATTGTAAATAATTAAGTACACACACATAACAAGCTGTACCGAGTTCCTCCGGCTGCAGTTCCGCAGACGGCCGGTGTGTGGCAGCATAGCGCTGGGAGCAGAGGGAGGTGAGTATATGACGGATATGACGGATGACGGATGCGACGGAAATACACCCGAACATATCTGGTAGGCCGAACATATCTGGTACTGACACAGGCTGGAGAAGGCGGGAGTTGAACTCTGACCTCACTGTCGAGCCGTTAGTGGCCGACTCCGCCTACTAAGGGCTTCACGGCAACTCTGCAGAATCCTATGGGTGACGTCACGGACCCTACGTCCATTTATATATACAGTCTATGGTATAAATACAGCGGCAAGCTTTGGGACGGTGTCAGTACCAGATATGTTCGGGCTACCAGATATGTTCGGGTGTATTTCCGTCGCATCCGTCTTCCGTCATATCCGTCATATACTCACCTCCCTCTGCTCCCAGCGCTCTGCTGCCACACACCGGCCGTCTGCGGAACTGCAGCCGGAGGAACTCGGGACAGCTTGTTATGTGTGGGGTGCTATGGTGGGGTCCCATGTACTTGTGCACATAAATAATGTTTCTAATTATTTACAATTAAAAAATATATATATTCTGCGTTACTTTAGCCAACACTTTTATAAGGCCACTAGATTAGATAATTACGAAATGTGTAGATAGAATACATATATTTCAGGTTGTTATTTTGTCATTATGTTTAATGTTTTATTTACCTTTTAGTATTTTTATATAGTATCTGAACTTTGGAGAGGAGTTGGGAGACACACGACACATCAAATCACATCTACAGATCAAGGCGAAGCGAATGGAAGTACTCCCATACTCCTAGCGTGAAAATGTTTGTGAAAACGTGTGCAAAGTCTCCGAAAATCCTAAAAAATAAGCTCATATTTGAATTCATCATAAAAAAACACATCATTCAGTAAAAACAAGGCCCCACTGATCATCTACTCTCTGAGACGATTCCAGGGATGTCTGGCTTGAGTTTCGACCACCAGGGAAAGTGGACAAAAGTGCCCGAGATCAGCCTCTTAATTTACCCAGGGCTTAGTGCTTCGCTTTCTGCATGACAATTCAGGAAACTCCCCTGAGTATTTTATTAAATATCTGAACTTTGAAGAGGAGTTGGGGGACACACGACACATCAAATCACATCTACAGATCAAGACGAAGCTAGTGGAAGTACTCCTAGCGTGTGAAAATGTTTGTGAAAAATGTGTGCAAAGTCTCCGAAAACGGAGCAGTGGCTGTGAAGCTAGCTTTGCGGTTAGCGGTTAGTTGTTATTGTTTGAAGTTGTTGCTATGGAAACAACATGACGGAGAAAAAATTATATCTTCTACATATAATAACGGACAAAGTAAAGAATGGGAGTGTAGGCTATGCCTGTTTGAAGTTGTTGCTAAGGAAACAACATGACGGAGAAAAAGTATAATCTTCTACATATAATAACGGACAAAGTAAAGAATGAAGTGTCGGCTATGTTTAAATGTTCGGAATTTGACCGTCTTGAGTTGCCGTAAAATATGACGAATATGACGGATGCGACGGAAATACACCTGAACATATCTGGTAGCCCGAACATATCTGGTACTGACACCCATAGATATATATAAACACTAGATGACTCACCCGCGCTGCTGGCCAATGGAGACCGACGTTGCCACTTGGCCGCCATCTTGCTACAGGCAGTTCTCTCATTCATAACATTATGGTTTACTATTTAAATAACCATAGCTTGCTCAATTTTCAACCAATTTTCAAACGGTTTGGTTTTTTATAAACATCAAAGATGTAGTTATGATACTGTATACTTATAGTCATGGACTTTCTTATGAAAATAACATTAAGCAGATAAAGCAATAGCTATACACACACACAAGGTATTTCTATTAAATATTTGCCGGTGTATATATTTCCATTTATTTTTATTATATTGTTAATATTTAAAATAAATTATAAAATAAAAATATATTTATATTTTATATATAAACATCGGTCTCATGTTACCACTCTGTAAGCCAAGAGTTATTAATTTAGCAATGCCTTAGCTTTAAGAATAGGGACACAACTAATGACAATAGCATATGGTGGTATATTATTTAGATATTCACACCTTTATCAGAAGAACCAAACCAACATAAAATGAGCTCACAGACAGGCCAGTTCTGTCTCATTTATCACAATTATACGAATATATAAATAATAGTAATATGGAAATTAATAAGTTACTTTTTTAACAATTCAATGTTCACTTATCAATACTGTGAGCCTGATTTTTCTTACATTCTCCAACAGAAAACACAACTCAGCGTACTTTTAAGAAATTGATCTTAATAGGCTTTTCCCCTTATAAGGCAAAAATATGTTTTGAGGCTCTGGACAAAAATGGCTATTTTGATTGTAAAGGTTGCCAATCCCTGGGTGTAGTTTCAATGTTTGCACATGTTTATTCAAGTGTATGAGTGACAGAGCAAGTGAGATGGCCAGTGGTTCTCAAACCTTTTACACAGAGTACCACCTCAAATTATATTGGGCTCTCCTAGTAACACCATCATAGACCTTCCTGGGTACCACC